TGCTTGTTCTGGGATCCCTGGGCCACAAAAACTGAGACTATTGAGAGGCCACAACATGCACCAGGCCTGCTGACAAAGAATAAATACAGCCACTGCTTTAGTTAAGAGCCCTTACAGAAATTGCCTACAGAAGCTGCCACATTTTCATAGAATGGTAGAATCATTTCGTTTGTAAAAGACATGCAAGATCATCAAGTCCAACTGTTAACACTGCCAATTTTTATTTGACTCTTGCTAACTAAGCCTGCCTCATGTTCTTGGCAGAACTGTGGCCATTGGTCTTGCTCTTGGGAATGTCAGCCTAAGGACAAATGAAGAATTACAACTGCCTTCATTTCCACACTTTTCCTTCAGTATTCTTTACTCCTGTCAGGCAACTTTCTTTAGATATTATATTTGCAGTATGGTGGCATTGACAGAGAGGTGGGTATGACCCCCGTCAGGTCCACACATGCTTTCTTCCTCAACCTGTGGTCCATTCATGACCATGACATGTGGTCCATTCATGTTAGTTCTCACCAACACCATGCACCACCACGGAGGTAGGAGTCACCCTAGGAGGCATGTCACCACTGAGAGGTCATTTTCTGAGCCGGATAACGACACAGAATGCCAAGCATGAGCTCAGGGGCTCTGTCCCTGGGCTCTAGCTGAGGAGCAGTCTTCAGTGTGCATTCTGTTGGATACTTTGACCATGCTGGAGAGGTCTCACAGCATCATATTGTGGGTGTGCTGAATGATGTGCACTGTTAAGTGATACTCATGAGCAGCGTGACTGTGCCTGTGTAATGCACAGTGAAACAGCATTACATGTGGCTTGTGCCAGAAGTCCAGTCTCCATGAACATGCAATATGCAGTCATTCTGTGGCAGGGCCTTAAGGCAGCCCCGCTAAGTGGCAGTGACAACTGTGGGTGTTGGTGGAACATGCTGATAGCCGTTCTGCTGAGAAAGTATAGCGTGTTTCTGGAGTTGACATAGCAGTTCATCCAGCACAAGTTCAGTGTTCTCCAACACTGCAGGGCATTGTGTGCATTAGATGCACCCCAGGTTGCAGAAGGATGGCTAGCTCTGCCTTCCCAGTGCCCCTTTCCAGCTTTCACCCTAATTCTGTGAGGGAGAAAAAAGTTGTTCTTCCCAGCACATGGAGATGAGAGAAATTCCAGCCTGCTGCCAACCTATGGCTCAGAAACTTAAGCTGTTAATGCAGGCAGAGCCCCACAGGTAGATAGATAGTTGTGCATGGAGTACAGATAGAGATGGAGACGTGAATCTAGGGACTCTTTGACTGACTGGCCTTTAGCAGCAGACCTTTCCTAAAGTTTCACTTAGGAAGTGAAACTCAATTACTCAGTTGAGTAATTACTCAATCTACTGTGTAGTGTCCTGGCAATTCTCTCCTTCCTACTCTTTCTTTTTTCCCCATCTCCTACACCTGTATTTTTGCTTTTTTTTATCCAGGGTCTCACTGTATCCTGTCACTTGGTGTGTCTAACACCTATGTCTCTATGGCAAAAATAAAATCAGAGGTGGGAAATATTTTCAGGATCACTATGTCTAGCTGTAAAATCTTTGGACCTGCATGTGTTTGCTCTGATGCCATTCTGAGAGCCATTTCCTGAAGTGATATACAAGACCCTTGGATGTAGGGAGGTCCTTGGACTACAGAGTGCCTGCTTTAGCTAATCACATCATGAATGATAGCAAAATTAATTTCCCCCATAACTTATTACGTTGCTTGGCTGTTTGTTACCACATCCTGCATCCCAGGTTTCATTGGCAAATTCAGTAGAGCTCCCATCTATACAAGATGATACAGAACTGGATCCTTGGGAGCATCATGGGCAGCATAAATGTATCACACTGAAGTATTTATCTCATCATAACTTTTCACTCACACTGCCCTTATATTCCCAAACTGAATTCTGGAACTTCAGCTATGTTTTACCTACAATGCACAGCCTATTTACCACATATAACTGTCAGGAAAGACTTTGAGCTCTCTCCCATTTCTGCTGAACTTCATCATAAATTCCCCTTAACCTTTAATGCACAGGTTCAAGTTCTTTCTCAAATGATTGAAGATCACTCTTAAAAACCAGACTTCTTCTAAGTATTAAAACCTGGAAAATAAATTCATAATACCCTCTTCTACTTTTTTCCAAACCCAAACATTTGACCAAATTGCCTAATTTCAAAATCTTACTGAGTGGAAAAAAATGTTCTGCCTGAGACTCTCCACACCAAATGCCACAAATACGTTTTTTACCGTGATCATTTACAACAGGGAAATGTGTGGTTTATAATGGAATGATTATACAGCTTTGGCTTGGGATGTCACAGGCCTGCTGGTAAGATAAGTAAGAATGGAGCCAATTCTGAGCCATCATGCATGTTAGGCGCAACTATTGTAATAAAGCAGCTCCCTGGCCCTTTGTACACAGTTTTACCAGGTCTGGGTTTTGTGGAATTCTCTTTTTAATAAAGTATATGGTCTAAGGCCCAGCTTGAAACAAAAATGCTCATTTCTTGCTGAGTTGTATGAACTTTGGAAATATGGCAATAAAATGGACACATATGTTCTATTATTATTATTATTATGCTTAAAGGCTACAAAAATAAATCATTTGCGAAGCTCACATGGACAAAATGAGTACTGCCTTCTGCTAGAGTCTGTACTTACATGTATCTGTTTACTTAGATGCATCTGTTCTTGATCTCTTGTGGAAAAATCAAATATTGTATCTTATGAAATGCATTGCTGAAGCATTGTTCAAAAAATCAATCCTAAACCAGAAGTCCATTAAAAAAAAACTGAATACCTGCTTCAAACTCTCTTTTATTGTTATTAATAGAGCATTTATCTTCAATATGGTTGGAGATAAAAATTCCTTTTTAAAGTGATGAAATGAAGAGATTTGCAAGTGCTGAAACCCCCTGATCTCCCCCTCTCTCTCATCACCTGATACAGGCTTAAGGTTTCACAGTTTGTAAAAATCAATGGGAAGTTCTCTCCTTGCCAGCAGACTGGGCCAATTTAATAAGTACCTGAACAGAGAGGCAGCCTGTGGAAGGGGGCAGTCACCTTTCGCCTGGCATTAGGAGGAGCTGCGAGGGCCGGGACACTGGAGCGCATTGTGTCCCCGTGCAAAGGCCTGAATCAGCAGTGACGAGGTTTCTTCTCTCCAGCTTTCTCTCACCAGCCTGACTGTAACCCGGAGGGGAATCTGCGAGGGGATGGACAGCTTCTGCCACAGGATGCAGCTCCCGGGGGTGGGGGGGAGACTTCAAGTTTCCAGTAAAGGGCTCTCTCGTCTCACTAGGGCAAGCACATAGCAGGGAAACTCCAAGCAGCTGCCAGGCAATTTCCTTTCAACTCTGTCCTAACACCACTGTTTACAGTTTTATGAAGGCAGCTCTGACTGTCCCTTCTCCTCCTCTCCCTCCCACTTGTTCAAGTTTGTCGATACCCGATCCATGAACATTTGTTTCCTCCTTCCCTGGAGGAGTTTTGCGCTCCACTGACCTCAAGTTCAGCCCCAGCGAGGCTGGCAGGAGGGCTCAGCTGGCTCTCGTTTCCCCACTTGCTGCAGTCCCTTCTGTTGGACTAGCAAAGCCAGTGTAATTCAAGCGGGGCAACCCTTCCCTTGCCAGCTCCTCACACCGCCCAGGGTTCTGCTGACGGGGCAAACTTCATCCACCCTGTCCGGACCCACGGGGGTGGAACCCCCCAACCCTCCATCCATGGAGGCCACCGGTGCTGGGGGTGTACAGGCAGGTACAGACCCTCACCCCCACTCCGGCTGCCCTTAGCTCTCCTCCCCGGTCTTCACCGCTCCACTCTGCCCTGCACCGCGCACCTGCGGCCCGCGCTGCACCTTCCCCAGGTGGGTCCCAGTTTTGCAACACTGCTGTGGGTGCACAGGGGTGAAGCACTGAGGGGTGGCAGTGGAATGGTTGGATGGATGCATGGATGCGTATTTAACTTCTCTCACAGCTTGATCTCCAGGTGATTCCCACCTACCCTGTATCTATTCTCCTCCGCATCCGACCTCTCTTTCCTCCCCCTCTCCTCCTTCCTCTCCCCTTTTTCAGCAACGACAAAGCCTTTTACTTTAACCCGTTGGCTCTGTCCACTGCCATCCCGAGAAGATGGATTGAGGAGGGGGTGGGAGATGGAGGCTTTCTGCCTGTCAACAGCTGCCCTGCCTAGCCCTCGCCGCCCCGCGCCCCGGAGCGGAGAGCCGCGGGGATGCGCGGAGCTGTCGCCGGCCACCCGCGGCGAGGACGGGAACCTTGCCTGGGGAGAGAAAGGGTGCGCGGCCGGGCGGGCAGCGGCGCAGACCCCCGAGAAACCCGGAGCAGGGGAGGGGAGGGTTGGATCCCCCCGCGGATAAATCAGCGCGGGTGTCCCGGCGGCTCTCCCGGCGCCGTGCGGAGAGTGTGCGCAGGCAGGGAGCTGGAGGCGGGAGATGGGCAGGGTTCCCTGCTCGCATCGCGACTCCGCGCTCGGCTCCGCAGCCCGGCGGGGAGAGCCGCGCTAATTCCCGTCCCGCGGAGCCCTTTCGGCGCTGGTCCCACGGCACTCGGGAACTGCCGCCCCTCCGCTGGCTCCTTCTGCGCCACCGGCCACTCAAATGTTCATTGAATGCCGGCATTCGTTGCTTTCTAATTAGCGGAGCCCGAATCCGAGATGCTGCTGTTATGCGAGCAAGATACATCAAAGAAGGGGGGGG